CAGATGGCTGGCAGTTCAAACCTACCAGCCACTCCTCGGAAGGAAGGTTGGGCAATCCTACTTCCGTAGTGATACTGCCTCGGAAACCCAAGGAGAGGTCGCTATGAGTCGGGGCTGACTCGACGGCACATAACAACAACAAAAGTATTTACTGAAAATTTTTTTATTAAAAAAATAAAGATTTTTACCAACTTCTGCAGTCTGAAATTGACCAAACATGCAATCAAGATGTGTTGATTATCACTGATGATTTGAATGCAAAAGCTGGAAACAAAGAAGAATCACCAGTAGTGGGAAAACATGGCCTTGTTGATAGAAATAATGCTAGAGATCACATAATAGAATTTTGCAAGACCAACAACTTACTCATTGCAAATACATTTTTCCAACAACATAAATGGCCATTATACACATGGACTTCTCCAGATGGAGTACACAGGAATCAGACTGACTCCATCTGTGGAAAGAGGTGATGGAGAAGCTTAATATCCTCAGCCAAAACAAGTCCAGGAGTTGATTGTGGAAAAGACCATCAACTGCTCATATGCAAGGGCAAGCTGAAGTTGAACAAAATTAAAAGAAGTTCACAAGAGTCAAAATATTGCCTTGATTATATCGCTCCTGAATTTAGAGACCAACTAAAGAATAGATTTGATGCATTGAACATCAATGACCAAAAACCAGAGAAATTGTGGAATGGCATCAAGAATGTCATCCATGAAGAAAGCAAAAGGTCATTTAAAATACATGAAAGGAAGAAAGGACCGAAATGGATGTCAGAAGAGACTCTGAAACTTGCCCTAGAACAAACAATAACTAAAGAAAATGGAAGAATCAACAAGATAAAACAACTGAACAGAAGATTTCAAAGAGCAGCTCGAGAAGACAAAGTCAACCATTATAATGAAATGTGCAAAGACCTGGAGTTAGAAAACCAAAAGGGAAGAACACGCTTGGCATTTTTCAAGCTGAAAGAACTCAGGAAAAAATTCAAGCCTTGAGTTGTAATAAGGCTTTGGACTGCTAATCAGAAGGTTGGATGTTCAAACCCACCAGCCACTCTGCAGAAGGAAGACTGGGCAATGTACTTTCATAAAGATTTACTGCCTCAGAAACCCAAAGGGGGTCCCTATCAGTCAGAATCAACCCCATGGCAGTGAGTTTGGTGTTTTGGTTTGGTATGGGCAAAATATTGAATGATGCAGGAAACATCAAAAAAAGATGGAAGGAATACAGTGTCATTCTATCAAAAAGAATTGATCGATGCTCATCCATTTCAGGAAGTGGCGTATGATCAAGGAAGAAGTCAAAGCTGCACTAAAAGGAATTGGCAAAGAACAAAGCTCCAGGAATTGATGGAACCCATTGAGATGTTTCAATGAACGGATGCCATGCTGGGGGCACACACTCATCTATGCCAAGAGATTTCAAAGACAGCTACCTGGCCAACTGACTGAAAGAAATCCATATTTGTACCTATTCCAAAGAAAGGTGACCCCACAGAATGTGGAAATTATTGAACAATACCATTAATATCACACTCAAGTAAAATTTGCTAAAGATAATTCAAAAATGTTTGCAGCAGTATATTGATGAAGAACTTCCAGAAATGCAAGGTGGATTCAGAAGAGGATGTGGAATGAGAGATATCATTGCTGATGTCAGATGGATTTTGGCTGAAAGCACAGAATACCAGAAAGATGTTTATTTGTGTTTTATTGACTATGCAAAAGCATTCAATTGTGTGGATCATAACATGGATAACATTGAGAAGAATGGGAATTCCAGAACACTTAATAATGCTCATGAGGAACCTGAAAGTTCCATAGGTAGACCAGAAGGCTGTCAAATGAACAGAACAATGGGATACTGTGTGGCTTAAAATCAGGAAGGGAGTGTGTCAGGGTTGTATCCTTTCACCATATTTATTCAATCTGTATGCTGAATAAATAATTGGAGAAGCTGGACTATATGAAGAAGAACACGATTGTTCTTCAATCAGGATTGGAGGAAGACTAATAACTTGTGATATGCAGACAACACAACTTTGCTTGCTGATAGGGAGGATGACTTGAAGCACTTACTGATGAAGATTGAAGACTACAGCCTGTAGGATGGATTACATCTCAACATAAACAAAACAAAAATCCTCACAAGTGGGCCAATAAACAGCATCACAATAAATGGAGAAAAGATAAAAGTTGTTAAATATTTCATATTACTTGGTTCCACAATTAATACCAATGGAACAACAGTCAAGAAATAGGATGACATATTGCATTGGGCAAATCTGCTTCAAAAGACCTCTTTAAAGTGCTAGAGAGCATGATGGCTCCTTGAAGACTAAGGTGCACCTAACCCAAGCCATGGTATTTTCAATCCCTCATATGCATGTGAGAGCTGGACAGTGAATAAGAAAGACCAAAGAAAAGTTGATGTTTGTGAGTTGTGGTGTCGGTGAAGAATACCGAAAAGTACCATGGAATGTTAAAAGAACTAACAAATCTGTTCTGGAAGAAGTATAGCCAGAATGCTCCTTAGAATCAAGAATGGCCAGACTTTGTCTTACCTACTTTGGTCATTTTGTGACAAGGGACCATGCCCTGGAGAAGATATCATGCTTGGTAAAATGGAGGGTCAACAAAAAGGGGAAGACACTCATCGAAATGGATTGACACAGTGGCTGCAATGATGGGCTCAGGTATGGCAAACACTGCAAGGCTGGCACAGGACCAGTGATAGCTCTCATTCCATATCCTCTTCTGAATCCAGTTTGCATTTCTGGAAGTTCTCTGTCAATATACTGCTGCAACTGTTTTTGAATTATCTTCAGCAAATTTTACTTGTGTGTGATATTAATGATATTGTTCGATAATTTCCACATTCCACATTCAATAATTTCCTTTCTTTGGAATGAGTACAAATATGGATCTCTTCTAGTCAGTTGGCCAGGTAGCTGTCTTCCAAATCTCGTTTTGTTCTGTTGTACATAGGGTCACTATGAGTCGGAGCCAAGTCAATGGCACCTAACAACAACAACATCATGATGGTCAATTTATTGATATACAATGAGGAATACAGTTTGCAGAAGTCCATCCTTCCCTTATAGTTACACTACAGTGAGAGCTGAATTAAAATCTGAAAGTTCTTTGATAAGCAAAATGTCACCCAAGGGAAGTCAGTTATAAGGTTCATGTAGAAAGCATTTCTACCTCCACATAAGGACAGTCTCCAATGGGGTCCAGGGGGGCCACATCTTCCCACCCTGGAACAATGAACACTGCTTATGTTTGCCTCAGCAGTTCAATCAATTCTCACAACTTTGATTATGATCCTCATTTAAAATGAAGAAACAGAGGTCTAGAGAAAAATTGCAAAATTTCCCTGAGGTCACACCAGGAAGATGTAGGGTAACTAGATTTCAA